GAATTGCTGGCCAGAAAACCCAAGTGTATGGATACGGGTCCTCAAAGACCCACGAGGACCCACAGACCTAAAAAAAGTCAAAAACGAACTGTAGTTTGCCTCCTGATGAGGATTCCTGTGTGAGTCAGCGTGCGCACATCTCTGAGGCAGGAAACAGCCACTAGGGTGCCACCTTATGCCAGGCTGCGCAGACGCCAGGCTCCTCACACTCCCTCCACCCACCACAGCTCGGGAATCCTGCAGCACCAGCCGCCCAGCCTCGAGGCAGAGCCAGGACAATTCAGCTGCTGGATTTTAACAGATTCTGCAGCCACGCAACAGGAACCAACATCAGTCTGGGTAACTAAGCGGTTTTCACACCCAGAGACTCCAAGGCTGGCCACAGAGGACTGAGAACCCTGGCTTTTCAAAATTCTAGGGCCGTGAAGTCATCCCGCCACGAAGCTTACTTAACCCTTGCAGCCAGCTCACACAAACCACTGCTGGAAAATGAGAACCCACCAGGCCAGAGTCACAATGGCCTGTGTGTATTTGTGGTTTTCCTCTTTCTCAGTGAAGTATTTAAGGTTTCAGAGTCACTCCACCAACTTCAAGTAAAATAGTGAGCACTTTAGAAGGAAATGGGCAGGAGTAGTGGATTTTTCGGGAGGATTTTCTAAGTTCATACCAGGCAGGATATTTGACAGCCTCAAAGCCCACACTTTGAGGAAAACACTGGTGCAAAATAAACAAGAGTGGGTGCTGGCAGAGAGAGCTATCTAAGAGCATCACTTAGCAGCTAGTCAAGTGGGCTCTCCTTGTAGCAACTTCATGGGAAAGAGACCCATCTGAAAATGCTTCCAGAAGGCTTTGTTTGAAAATGCAGCATCATGTAAGAACCATCTCAACAGATGGTTCCTGACTCTTTCCTCCCAGGATCATGCTAAAACAATTTCAGTGATTCTGACCACACTGTTAGCACTTGTAAACCACCCCCCACCAAAGCAGAGGAGACTTCTCTCTTTCTCTCTGGCACAGTGTCTAGTAGTCTATACTCCCCCTCCCTCCCGGAACAAAGCAATAAATAACTAGAACAACTTTCATATGGTCCTATCACAAGGGGAAGAGGCAGGAAGAGAACAAATATACATTTTCTTTCATACTACAGTATTTTCTTCACTGCAAAGAGAAACAAGACTCTCCTTTCCTGCCTTTCGTGGACTCTAGATAATGCAAAAAATTAAAAGGCAGGCAGGCAAAAAGGGTGAGAGGGACCTAGTGGGAGACTGCAGCCGCCCCGCCGCCCCCCATTCCAACAGCCCCGTGCATCTCATCAGTATAATTTCATGTCGAGCAACCTGGCTGCCTGACCCTCCTTGCCTCTGCGCATGTGAGGCTATGCCACTGCTTTCTCTCGGTGTCTCTGCCATGGCCACCCTGTAGTAACACGTGGTCAACAACAAACTTAGCAGGTAGTGAGTTCAGTGAATACTCCTGAGGACAAGCTGAAGTAGCACCTCCCTCCTCCATTAAATTCAAAAGGAGGAAAACTAAAAACAGAAACTAACTGGAAACCTGGGGAAAGTAACTATTTACATTAGCAAATTTAAAAACTGAATACTAAAGATCCAGAAAGAGGGAAGATTTTCAAGCTAAGGCCACCATTAGCATGAAATTTCCAGGCCACATATGTGGTCATAATCAGGTGTGATTGGGGTTCCGGGTGGGGTTGGGATAGATAAGAGAAGGTTAAGAAGAAACGCCGAGGCCATGAAAATACCCAGGTAAAAGGCACAACTACAGACAGAGCTCACAGATCCCTGGTTGGGGTGGGGGGATGAGCAGGCAGAGCACAGGGGATGTTTAGGGCAGTGAACCTACTCCATATGATACTATAATGGTGGACACATGTCACTACACATTGTCCAAACCCACAGAATATACAGCACTGAGAGTGAACCCTAATGTAAACCACGGAGTCTAGTTAATAACGTGTCAATATCAGCACATCAACTGTAACAATAGACCACACTAACAACAGATGTTAATAATAGGGGAGACTGTATGGGAGAGTATATTGAAATTCTGTACTTTCTGTTAACCTGAAACTGTAAACCTAAAACTGCTCTAAAAAATAAAGGGTCTTCATTTAAAAACATCATACCTGAAAACAGATCCAGTGAAAAAAATTTTAATTAAGTATTTTACTTGTTTTGGTTTACATGAATATAGGTTTAACCTTTTTTTAAATGCACAAATTAATAAACTAAACGTTTACCAACTCTAACACAAAATGGTTATTCAATAAAAGCACAGAATCACTGGACTCTGCTTAGTTCTATAATGGAGGTTTAGGAGAGGTCACAACAAAAGTGTCTACAGTCAGCTAGCTGAGAACAGCAAAGTAAAAAGGCAAGTTTCTTAACCTCTGAGCATCACAATTCCCCTCATCTATAAAAAGGGACAATAGCACAGGGAAGGGAAGCAAAGACTGAGATAACGCTTACAAAGGGCCCAGCACAAAGCCCGGTACGTGGAGTATGCTTGATCGCTGCTCACTACTATCACTGGTCATTTTAGTGCTGCACCATGCTCCTAACAGGGCTAACATCATGTGTTTCATCAAATGTGCCAGTCGGCTTATTTCTATGTCCAGGTTGCAGAATGCACCCCGGCCCCACACATCTGCAGGAAGTGTCCATGCACCTCTCAAACGGAGGGGACAGTGCTATAAGGAATGGGGAAGGACTTCACCTCCGTTGTGCGGCTTGAGTGCTAAGTCTTCCAGGAGGGTGAGTGAGTGAGCAGACACAAGCTGGGGGTCCTCACCCCAGCAGCCCAGGCAACCTTGAGATCTACAACCTGAGAAACCCGGATTCAAGATCCACAAGGGGGAGGGGTCTGGAGGGCAGTTTGGCCTGAAGCCATGGTTTAGCTGACACAGCCCAGTCCCACTCTTGCCAAACAGTTTCCGTCAGCACGAGGCCATGTGTGAGCGAGTCCTAGAGCGATTACACAGCAGTGTGCAGAATCGAAAAGCATTCAGGAGCCGAAGGACGCTCATGACACCAGGCATCAGCAACACAATCCCTAAATGGGGACAGGAAACAAAACCAGGTCCCTCTGCAAATCCCATCTGCAGACCGGCCACACCCTCTGGCAGTCTTGACTTGGCAACCGAGCCGTCAGGGACTGAAGGGAGGTCTGATCTAGCTTGGAGCTGATAAGCCAGGGGATATGAGACCTTAAAGGGACATAGGGAAAGTAGAAGAAGGACGAGATGCTGGGGACGGTTCTGAGCAGCGTGGGCCTTCTAGGACGCCCAGGCCCAGGACACCGATGGTCACGAAGACCAAATGTAAGCATTACAGCAGCAGGGTGGAGTCAAGAGGTCTCGTGCTCCAGCCATAGAGTCAAGGGATTTTCTTTTCGCTCTTGAAGGCTGTGTGTAGATCCTAGTAAGGGCTCCAGGGATGGATTTCCCTGTAATGGCACTGGGACAGTTATATTCTGATGTATAGACTCTATATTACTATTAAAATTGCAAGAAAATGTGGGATAGTGATCATTTTTAAAAGTCTTAAAAACTGAAAGAATATATATACACAAATGCATTGTTATTTGTCTATGGCAAATAACTGGCTAGCCAGCTGTGCCAGGGCAGCACACACCCAAGTTACTGAGGCACCTGGTCCCTGCTTCACTGGTCGGTCCTCCGCCACCCCAGCTCACACCCTGCGGCTCCCAACGCCTCCTTCCTTAGGGTTCAGACTCCCCACACCAGAACACCCCAGCATCAACCAAGGGTCCCTGACTCTAGAATTCTAACACCCACGCTTCCCTCCCGCTATTTCCCCGTCTGCTCTCACACTGCAGATTCTTCAGGTTCCCTTCAGATTCAGGGCCAGATCACGAGTACAGATTCTAGCTTTACACAGACTTAGCTCAACCATTTACCCATTGTTTGACGTTGGGTAAACCACTTCAACAGACCCGCACTTTAACTCACTTGTAAAAATGCGGGTAATTTCTTATCTGACAAGTTTACTGCAAGGATTAATTTATGCAGCATCCACGTATCCTAGCACAGTGCCCAGCAGACAGTGAGTAGATTCTCCACCTATTCTTCAACCTGCAGATGCCCTGCCCCACCTTGTACCCACTCTCTGGGTTCTTAAGGGTCCTCCAGCTCTAAGAAGTAAGGACAGACAGAATCCGAGCCCGTGCCACCAGGATGGCTTGGCCTGCGTGACCCACCGTCTTGTCATCAGACAGACCGGCTTCCTCGGTCACTCTCGCAAGACCGTGACGCAGTGACTGGGGACCGTATGAACTTGAAAGGAGAGTATCTATGTTTACTCCACCTCATTCCACAAAGGACTTGATGCAGCTTGAAACCAATGTTAACAACGTAAATTTTTATCTACAAGTGGTATTTTGAAGTAGGAGGGGGATAAAAAGTAAAATTTTAGTATTTGGTATTTATCTTTTCCTCTTGTTATTGGGACCTAGAACATCATAGTCATTGTAAATATGCTTTTAAATAAAGACAAAGATGTTTTTGAGGGAAGGCAACAGCGTGAGAGAGAGAGAGAGATGGAGAATCTTATACCTTCTCCTTGGACTCTCCGATTATGTCATAGCAAAAATACAACCAGTGACCCTTCTGATCAATGAACAGGGTGGTGACAGGCACTCTCAATTCACTGATGTTGGCGATTATTGACAAGCTGGTAATGATCTTGCTATATTGTCACTCACGCTGAGGGCATTAGCATTCTTTAAAGGTCAAAAAGAGATTCTTCTAAAATGCAGAATTTCTTAGAAACCAGGGAAACCTCAGTCTCTTTTTAACCAGGTTCACACCATAAACCAGGGAATATGTGAGACACCCAGGATTTCGGTTCTTTAATTTTTCCTGATTTAAATTCTTGGCTGTCACACAAACCACATGGCAAGATTCTTCCAGCGGGTGATGGAAGGGGATCCTGAGAGCTGTGTGTGTCTCTGGGAGGCCGGGCAGCTCTGTCTGAACCGAAGTAACACCATACTCACTCTGCGACACTCTCACCAGCTCCGTCACGCTGAAGACACCTGAGGTGACAAAACTGTCCTGGAAGCCCAAATGTCCTGCAGAACAAAACAGAAGAAGCAGCGTCACAGACAGAAGACATCTGACCACAAAACTCGCAACTCGGTTCCGCTGTGATTAAAAACATGGTGTCTAATTTTATTTCTGCTCCATGTAGAGTCCATGTGGACGCACAGTCCTTCAGTGATGTGGCTGGTTTTTGGTTTGAATCTGAAGGTCACGGAAAGCTATGACACAACAACTAGGTGATTGTTGAAAAGGTTAAAAAAAACTCAACAGGAAGTCTGACACAAAAGATTCTTTAAAACAAATGGTTACCTTGGCTGCCCCCTAAGACCTTCACACTGGGATGGAAACAGCCTACTAAGAATCAACCAGGACGGCCAAATTCCATAGCAGTTTTTAAACGTTATTCTTTAAAGAAACATCTGACTGGGATTAGCTATCCACTCATTCAAATCAAACAAGATTTAAAGACGTTTCCTTCATGTCTAAAAGCACTGCAGGGTGGATCTTAAAAAAGCCAGACCAGCGAAAGCAAACCCCAACCCTTAAAACATGAAAACAAATTCTTCTGAGCACAAACAAAAACTTAGATTTGTTTCAAGAACAAGAACTGTTCTTTCTTTGGTGAGGAAGATTGGCCCTGAGCTAACACCTGTTGCCGATCTTCCTCTTTCTGCTTGAGGAAGATTGGCCCTGAGCTAACCTCTGTGCCCATCTTCCTCTATTTTTCATGTGGGACACCACCACAGCATGGCTGACAACTGGTGTAGGTCTGCACCCAGGATCTGAACCCTCAAACCCCGGGCCGCCAAAGCGGAGCTTGCCAAACTTAACCACTGTGCCACTGGGCCAGCCCCCCGAGAACAAGAGTTTTTTGTGGGTGTTTTTTTTGAGAAAAGATAATAACTCAATGGTTCAAAATGACTTTATCTTTGAATTTTGTATCTGCTTCATTTTTGCTTGATATAATTTCCTTTAAGATGTCGAATATTACATCTATTATCAACTGCTTATTTATTTTTGTGGTATACTCAGGAACATAAAACTTATAAATGGAATACATAATGTATGACATGTCGATTCCCTCTCTGCCTCTAAAGTTTTCTGATTCTGTGGGTCTCAGAGATGGGGGATCTCATGGAGAGACCAGTCTTTAGGGTCAGCATAATCACCTGCTTTAACATTAGGGCCAAGAAGCTGCTGCCCGCTGAAGGGATTTTTAATATAACTGTTCTCTGGAATAAGAAACATACCTTTAAGAAATGCCACATAAGAAAGTAGGCCAATCCGAATATACAACAAACAATCCATAAATAAGATTTATGTTATTGACAAAAGCTAGTTTTGCCCATTACTAAGGGGAAGCAAATTTACCTGTGGCATAGTTTATGCACTATAAATTTGTTAAATGTCATGCACATAAACACATGCAAAAAATTGCCGTGTTTCGGAGGATTATAAACGGACCTACAATTTTTTTTTTCTTTTGGTTACACTGGACTTTTGCATAAGAAAGATTTTTTTTACTGAGATTAAAAAGAAAACTTTCAGTTAATTTTTACATCAAACATACAATCTATTACATTTTAGATAAAACAGCTCTAATTTTTAGGATATGTAATAATCGCAAATTGCTTTTTAAAATAAAATGGCAAAATTTCATTTGAAGAGGTGCTTAAGGAATTTCACTTTTCAAAACAACCCTGCTTAAGGAATTTCACTTTTCAAAACCCGCACCCCAGTATTTGCTGATTTTTATTTGAAAAGCAGCTGAGGTTGTCTCTTGGATTAAGAGAACTGAGAAGTAAAAATAAACAGAAGTTCTCTGACGTGGTCTTGGGAAAACAGACTATGGCATCTCTGTCATTGTGACAACTCGGACATCACAGTCATCCCATAGACCATAACGAAGGAAATCCAACCACGTGCATGTTAAGTGTGACTTAACACTCAATAATAGCAAGGAACTTCATTGGCAAACGGGGAGTCTCGATCTTGCTCTTGCTCATCTCTGCACCGTGTGCAGGCTGATACACGTTTCACCTCCAACCTCTGAAACTCCTTATTTTAAGGACGACTTAACATGAATTTCTGTACAGAGTGAATGTGAACACATGTACTTTAATCCTGCCACTCAAAAAAGCAAGCAATATATTTTGCAAACACGTTCGGCCTGGCACAAGGCGTTGGGAGGGGAACCCTGCCTTCATCCCTTCCGACCATCATCCTGTCCTGATGCTCCTTTTCTTTTGCCCACCTCTCAGACGTTCATGTTCTCCAGGGTTTGTGCTCATCTCTCCTTATACACATATTTCTTCAGTTATTTTCTCTATTTCTACACTATCAGCTTCCGGTCTTGACTGTGGCATTTGTGAAAACCAGAATAATGATAGTTTCCTTCACCACTGTATTAATGCCTGGAACAAAGCAGTTACTAAGTTAATGTTTGTTGAATGAGAGGATGAATGAATCTATAGGCCAATGAGTCTCAAATCTTTATCTTTTGCCAAGATCTTTCTTCTGGGTTCCAAACCTGTAAGACAAAATGTTTATGGGATATTTCTACCCAGATGGCCCACGAGTATCCTCAGACCCAACATGTCCAAAGGCGAGCTCATCTTCTTCTCCTCCAAATCTGTTCTTACTCTTCTGAATTCCCTACTTCAATGAACCATCCACCATTCATTTTGTTTTCTATGTTTTAGGGTCATCCCTGACTCCTGCCTCTTACAAACACCCCATCCAACAGATCCCCATTGATTCCATTTCTTACTATTTCTTGACTCCATGTGTGTCTCCATCTCCCCTACGACTATGGCTCAGGCTCTTCCCAGTTCTCCCCAGCATGATGGGACAGCCTCGTGACTGTGTTCTCTATTCTCTCTAGTCTCAGGTTCTTGGTGGTCCACTCACTACTCTGCAGCCAGAGCTGTCTCACTAACAGGCAAATCTGATGACTCATTTATTTATTCAACAAATATTTACTGAGCACCTACTGTGTGCCAGCCATCATGCTAAGAGTTCAAGATACAGTCCTTACCTTTTTTTTGTTGGGGGGGGAGGATCAGCCCTGTGCTATCATCTGCCAATCTTCCTCTTTTTTTTTTACTGAGGAAGACTGGCCCTGGGCTAACATCCATGCCCATCTTCCTCCACCTTATATGGGACGCCGCCACAGCATGGCTTTGCCAAATGGTGCATTGATGCGCACCTGGGATCCGACCTGGCGAACCCCGGGCCGCCGCAGCGGAGCACACGCACTTAACCGCTTGTGCCACTGGGCCGCCCCCTACAGTCCTTACCTTTAGGGAATTTATAGTCTAGGATTAGAGATAGCTGAAAATGTAAAACGAATTATTTTAAAAATTATAAATGGTATAAATGATATGAAGAAAAGAAATAGGAAAAGCTTTAGAAAGGTGATCAGGGAAGGTTTCTCTTAAGAGCTTGACGTCTGAAAGATACAAAGGAGAAAGCCAGAAAAAGGGAAGGGCTCTTCAGGCAGAGGGATTAGCATGTGCAAAGGCCCTGAGGGAGGAAAGCAAGGCACTGGAGAATCTGAGATAAATCCACATGTTCCTGCAAGAGCCCCACAGAGTTCAGGGGACAATACAAACTCCTCTGCATGGCACTTAACCCCCACTTCGTCTCCGTTTTCCTTTCCAGGCTCATTTTTCATCTCTTCTCTCTCACTTCCAGCCCTACCCCTTGGCCTAATGGAATACATGCTCTGCCCTGGCCCTGGTCACCCCTCCTCCCACTCTGCTCCCTCCTGAACTGCCTGTCCTTCCTGCTCTTTGCTTGGCCACCATGGTCCCACTTGTCTGTGAGGACTCAGCTTTGTCATCCTTTCTATCAAAAACCTTCCCTCGCTACCCCGACCGCTGGCAAGGTCTCCTTTCCTTCTTCTCAGTACGTCCCGGTGCTCTCAGTGTGGCTCTAACAAGGACTCAGCACACGGAATGGTCATTTTGTCTTTGTCTCCTACTGGACCATGAGCCCACTGAGGGGCGAGAGCGTCTCCGGTCCCAGGTCCTACCACAGGGCCCAGCAGGCAGGACGGGCTCCAGAGATGCCTCTGAGCGGACACAACTCCATGGGCTCAGTATGTCTATTTTCCTTTTTATAAAAACGTGGACAGAACTTTTTAATTCTGTCTCCTTCTCTCTCCCATCTCTACAATACAGTCTGAACTAAAACGAACCAGCGTGCATCTGGAAACTATTACAACGGCCCATCCACAGAGTCCCACCAAACCAAAGAGAACAGGACAGACGACTTTCCGGACGAAGCTTCTGATCAAAAAGGTGTCACCGGGTTCTCTGACGGGAAAAGTCTGAGGGTGTCCTCTTGTTGTGATTATGGTTCATATTTGGGGAGACCAAGTGAAAACAGAGTTAAAGGGCAGCATTATTGAATGGACATAAGGGGCCAAAAATAAAGTCTCGTCCTGAGCTTAAACCAGGACCTTGTGTGGTCCTGAGAAAGTCACTGCAGAGTAACAGTTGGGTCCTCCTTCCCCCACAGCAACCTGCCTCCTAAGGCTTATTTTAGTAAAATGCGTGTAATTTAGAAGGTGAAATATATGTGAATGTACAATAATCAAAAAAATACAAATGAGCAGAATTATCTCACAAGTCCGATGTAACCATCTCTTCACAATCTCATGAGATGATCAGAAAGCCCTGGCCACTTCATGTTTACAATGTGTCCCCAAAGAGGGGTCTGTGTAAACACGCTATGCAACTTTAAATGACTATGACACTGGTTTTGTTCCTCCACCAATGATTTGGAAACCCACTGATGAACTCTAGAAGAAGATAGCAGCAAGAAATGAAACCTAAGATACGATGGAAAAAATGACTTGGCTAACGTAATCACTAAGCAAACCTGAGCATACCAGTATTTCATTCTCACTAACACAAACCAAAGCATAAAAATGACGTTCAGGGAAACAACACTAAATGGGTGTTCTACTTTATTGCAAGATGAGAGAAAAATGGAAAAGAAAATAAAAAGGTAAATTTAAGTA